TTCTGTTATTCAATGAACTTATATATATAGTCTTTCGAAATATAAGAACATTCAAGTAATCAAACCAGCAATTAAATTAGAAAAATATAGGGGTACAAAAACACTTTGCATGGTAAGAGTTATGGAAAAGTAGTATGTAATGAAATAATATTTATATATTGTAGAAACATTTAATTTTTGAACTCTGATTTTTCTGGTTCCATCCTGTTTGTTAAAAATGAATATTGGACAGATTGGATAAATTGTTTATCTCTGCAATTCTTCTTTTCCCCAGTTTTAAAACTGGGAGGTGAATGTTATTTATTCAAAAATGTAAACAGATTCAATCCTGAATTCTTGATGCCCTTAAGAAATTTTATTTAGAAGACAGTACAGAAATATATTATTATGTTTTAATCTTCACCCAAGGATATATTTTATTGATGAGAGAGAGAGACAGAGAGAAGCATTTATGTGAGAGAGAAACATCACTTGGTTGCCTCCTGTAAGTGCTCTGACTGGGGATCAATCCTGCAAACTAGGTATGCACCCTGGCTGAGAATCAAACCCCACAACCTTTTGGTGTACAGGATGACGCTCCAACCAGTTGAGCCACTCAGTCAGGGCAGCAATATACTATTAAGAAAATGTTTTTTTATATACAGTTGACAAGAGTTTGTTCTTATCTTAAATTTTGAACTCTAGCATTAGGTGTTTAACAAATTGTCAGCAGGAGCTTTGGAAGGAAAACAAATAACATAGAATAGCACAGGGTTGACATCAGTGGTTTGCCCAACCCAATGACACAAAGTCCTGTTTCTCAAAAGTGCATTTAATACGGAATTTTCAACTTGTTTGATCATAGGACTTAATTGTGAATATTTGTCTGATGTGGGGGATTACTTTGTGTGTGTGGAAAATTTTGTCTTTGAAGTTTTTAATGCAAGTTTTATGTTTTTTTAATTTAGAAATTTATTTTTACTGGCTGTTAGGCAGGTATTTTTCTGTCTGTAATTAGGGGAGCTTTAAAGGCCGGAGACAAGAGTTTTGTTCTTGCTAAAACATTTTTTTTTTAGTATGTTTGGATCTCCTACCTGTCTGCATTTGGCTGATCGTATATTAAGCTTCTGTAGTTTGATATTGATCGACATTCTTTGAATTCCTTTATTATTTAGCATTTTTAATAAAATGGTGATTATGAATCACTTTACTAATATTTCATGTAAATTAGTCATTATGAGCAAAAAAGTGCAGTGGAAAGAGATTTGCCTTGGGACTTCATTTGACTCAAATCAAATGTTAGCACTGATTTTGGGACTGTCTTAGCCTGTTAATAGCCTAATATCTTTTTAAATATAAGGTCATTATTGGTGTCACCTTGATTCCATTCAGAAAAAAAAATATGAGTGAATCAATAGATAAACAAATAAAGTGTGATACCTATTGTTTTCTTTCTATATTATATATTATGTCTCTAAGCATAGTATCTGGCAGTGAAGGGTTTTGTGTTTGGTGAGCAGAAGCCATATCCCAGGGTGATCTTACTAGTGCTGTGCTGCACTTTGACCTGTTGCTGGATAATGTTTGGTTGGTTTCATTTTGAAATGAAGTTATGTTACTGGGATAGGTAAGATGTTACATTGATATTATTTTGTCAGTTATAGACAAATTAATATTGTATCACAGTTTGTTTAGTTAACGCTGATTGCTTTACTTTAATAACTAAATTATGATCCAATAAGAATTCTGTTCTAATGCCATTTTAAAAAATATCTCAAATAGAGACTGTTGGACAGAGTGTTTCTTTATGTTTGATGTTGGATTTCAATTTCAAAAGAAAAAGCAGTTAAGATATTAAGTGATAGTTTGCAAATTTGGTAGTAGAATTTCTGAATACACTAACACTTATTCATTTCCTTTTGCTACATTTTATAAAGATTTTTTTAGCTTATAATTTTCTTAATTTGAAGAGATGTGTGGGAGTTTAAGGTGAGCATAATGCCAAGGAATAATAGGTTGGGAAAAATTATCCAATATGAAGAATAGATACTGTTGCATGGAAATACTTCACAATGCTGTGCATAAGAAGGGCCTCGTTAAAGAACAAGTATGAATGACCCACAGCCATGGACAACATGAGGACTGACTGTGGGAGTGGCAGGTGGGCAGGGCGGGGAGAGCAACAGAGGAAAATTGGGACAATTCTAATAGAACAACAATTTTAAAAAAAGCTTCATTGGAACCAAAAATAAAATAAAATAAAGTAAAGGATCTTTAAAATTGTTAGCACTAATGTCAGAGTTTGTACATCTTGCCATTATAAGGCATTATGGTACTTACAGCTTAGAATTATTTTGCTGTGAATGTATTTTATTTTAAATGAATAAATAATTTGAAAAGAAAATTCTTAGTTGTGAAAAAATTCAGGAAGTCATATTTTAATATTCCTTAGCAAAATAAGCCATTTACACACATATTCATTTACCTAGCACGTATTTTTGATGTGCTAGCCCTCCTGGGCTTTTAGTTTGCATGGCCTGTCTTTTCTATCCATGCACTTCCACCCTGTTGGTATCTTCATGTTTAAAGTCTGTCACTCATTGTAATATATTGTTAGGCCTTTAAAAATGCATTCCGTCAACCTATGTCTTTTAGTAATAGCGCTTAATTCATTAATATTTAATATAATTATTGATAAGGTTGGATTTAGGCCTACTATTTTATTGTGTTTGTTGTTTTGCCTATCTTTTGTTTCTCTAGTCTTTCTCTTTAGGTTAATTTAGTATTTTTAGAATTTCTTTTAATTCCCCTATTGGCTTTTTAGCTAAAAACATTTGTATATTTTTAATGGTTGCTCTAGGAATTATAGTATACAGCCTTCTCAGTCTACTTCAAATTAAAATTATACAACTTTTTAATGTAATGTATAGAAATATAAGAATGTTGTTATACCATCAACCCTCCACCATCCTTTGTTATAACTGCTATATATACTGTATCTATATATATTATAAACCCCATAACAGTGTTACAATCTTTACTTTGGACTATAATGTTAAAGAAATGCAGAGGAAAAACTAGTCTTTGGTATTTATCTACATGTTTACTGTTTCTGATGCTTTTCATTGCTAAGATCCAAGTTTCTATCTGATAACACTGCACTTTAGCCTAAGAAATTCTTGCATTTCTTGTACTATGTGTCTGCTGGTGACAATTTTGCCTTCACCATTAAAGGGTATTTTTGTTGGATATGGAATTCTGGATGCACAGTTATAAGAAACTATATTCAGTAAGGTTCCCTCTCAAGAGTGTTGTTTTACTTTAACAGGCAGTTAACTTTGCTGAATTCACTTTTGCAAACTCCATCTTTCCTGTGGTGAACACCAGCTGACATCTCATTTCCATTCTTTTTGCCTTAGTTGGGCTGTTGGGAGTCTGCCCTGCATGTACATAATTTAGGGGTCAGCCAGAGGCTTGGGCCGAGTTTATTTACAGAATTTAGGGGCTCCTTCTTTGTGGATCTCCTCTTTCTGGAAACTAAATATACAGTCAAGAAATCGATTCATGTATACATGGTCAGTTGACTTGCAACAAAGGTGCAAAGACAATTTAGTGAAGAAAAGATTTTAACCTTTTCAACAATGGTGCTGAGACAATCACATATCTTTATTCAAAAAAAAACACCCCAAAAGCATAAGCTTTGATTCAGATCTTATAGCGTATATAAAAATTAACTCAAAGTGGATCATAGACTTAAATGTAAAACAAAACTATAAAATATCTAAAACATAAGAGATAATCTTTGTGACCTTGGGTTAATCAAAGTTTTCTTAGCTACAACACTAAAAACATCCATAAAAGAAAAAAATTAATAAAGTGGACTTGAATTAAAAACTTATCTGTTCTTTACAAAACACTAGGAAGAGCATAGAATGATAAGCCCCTCCCTGACCTGGAGAAAATATTTGCAAACTACATATCTGATAAAGGATTTTTGTCCCGGATATATAAAGAAATCTTTAAATAATGATAAAGAAATAAACTGCCTAATTTTAAAAAAATGAAAATATTTGGTCAGATATTTAACCAAAGATATAAAGATAGTGCATAAGCACATTACAAGATGCTCAACAACATTAGGGAAATGCAAATTAAAACCACAATGAAATACCACTACACTCCCATTAAAATAAATAAGATAAAGAAGATTGATCGTAATCAAGTGTTAGTTAGAAAGTAGAACAAGTGGAACTCTCATTCACTACTGGTAAGAGTGCAAAATGGCACAACCACTTAGGAAAACAGTAAGTCAGTCTCATTAAAATTTGAACATAAAGCTGCCATATGATCCAGCCATTTCATTTCTAGGTATTTACCCAAGAGAAGTGACAGCATATATCCATGTAAATACTTGTGCAAGAATATATATAGAATCTTTATTTCTAATAGACAAAGACTGTAAACAACTCAAATGTCTACCAGTAGACAACTCCATAAAACAAACTGTGATATGAAATGCTACTAAGCAGGCAACAGTTCTATTAAATGTTTTGCCACTGTGTAATATGGACTACCATCTTTCTAGCTTTCAGTAATGGTTTTCTCGCTGCCCACTACTCAGCCCCTAAGCTGTTTCTCTGACTCTTCTGATCCCGATTTTTGTGTCAGTCAGGTTAGTTTATAGCAATTCAGGTAGATTTTCAAGCCAGATTGCTTGGTTATTTTCATCAGTATTAGTTTTGCCATTTTAGGGTGCATTAAAGTCTTTAAGTAATGACACCAATAGTTATAACTTTTCTTGATACTATACAAAAATGGTACAAAAAACTTTCAGCTTTTATTTATACAGTTTTTAAATGGGAAATATTCCTGTGTGTTGTACAAGGAACCTGAGGTCCAGAGAGGCAAATTGTCACACAACAATGAACCTGAACTAGAACCAAAAGATCCCATTTTAATACTTTTGTATAAATTGAGAAAAATAAATGTACCACATACTTACACATTTTTTATTTTGACAGACTCTTCAACAGACCACGTTTAAGAGTTGTCTCGGACTCCCTCTTGCCAGTGGCTGGAGCACAATGGATCACACAGGGACACTAGACACCGAGGATGAATTGGGACCTTTAGCCCATCTCGCTCCAAGTCCTCAAAGTGAAGCCGTTGCTCACGAATTCCAGGAACTTTCCTTGCAGTCCAGTCAGTACTTGCCCCCTCTGAATGAAAGGAAGAATGGTGAGTTCTTCAGCACGTGCAGTAGGGATTTTGATTTAAAGACTTATCTCTTTGTGAGCCTAATTTATTTCTCTTTGGTAGTTTTTTTTTTGGTTTTGGTTTTGGTTTTTTTTGCCAGTTGCATTTGACAGTCTGCCACAGAAGAGAGAACCTCACAGAGGTACTGGCTAGTTTTGAGTAACAGGCAGAATTTCACTTTCGATCCCATTCTTCGATTATTTCCCCTGCATCTTTGGTAGCAACATTATCTTTGAAAATAAGTTTTAGATTCAGTCATTTGAATACAAGCAGAAGATGTCATGCTAGAATGGTGTTGGAAAGTCACATCCTGTGCTGATTCTCAGGAAAACAGATTGTGGATTTAAATAGATTATCCTCCCAATTTCGCCACCTCCAATGTGTTGCAACTTAATTTCAGAATTGGCAAAATTTGCACTATCTTAACGATCACTAAGAAAGCAAGAGTGTTTTATTTGGTTATTTTTTATATTAATGGGTATTGGAAATGGCCATATTTTCCACCTTTGGCTGATTTATCCTTGTATACAAAATGAATAGTTTCTATTTATTTGCTATCTGTTCAGGAAATGTTCATTGATCACTGGAGTTTTAAAAAAACACATACTGCCAATTCTTAATGGAAGTGAATAGAGAGATGATATACACTTATTCTTAATACTTAAAATATAAAAACTAAGAAATATAAAATATTAAAATTTACAAACACACTAACTCTGCATATGAAAAGTACACAGTTAAGAATTTCAACCAGATTTACTATGCTTTCCTCAGTTCTGATGAGTCTTATATTCACAAATTTATATTTTTTTAAATGCCAGAAGAAATAAAACTGTTTCTTTGTAGAATACTTCCATATGTACTATCTTATTGCTTATTTTTCTGGGTTCTATTTCCCAATTCTTTTCAGTATTTGCCTTTCTTATTCAGGAAAATGGATAAAAGGTGTATGCTACTATTCTTAGTTCTTTAGTTCATGTCTTTGGAGTATAACTGTTCCCCCCTCAAATAAGATATCTCATACATGTGTCTTATATTTGGTGTTAGGCACAACGCTTGTGCAGTTCAATTGGTATACAGCAGCATTTTGGCTAAGATTCTGTCAAAGCCTTCATGAGGCTGTGGTTGACAGGTGATGGCCTTAGAACCTTCTATCAGTTAGAGGCCAAGCTTTATCTTAGTGGCTGAGAGAGAATAACCACACTTCATGAAACATGGCTAAATGTGATCAGATTTACACAGTACACTTGGATCAGTATGATAATGTTCAAATTTTTATCTGCCAAAAGAGAGTTGAGCAGATAAAAATTGCCCTAATATACAGTTGCTCAAGAAAATGGTCATATGAGGGGTGACCCCCCAAAAACTGAAATTATCTTCTGGAGGATAGGCCTCCTGTAGTACAGGCTTCCCCTGCTAGGTGAGTGTTCTAGGAACCCATCAGTAATAGTGTACCAGCTGGTGTTGTTGTGAGATGCTGTGTTGGCTTCAGTGAATTTTTTTGAAGACTCTTTTCAATGTATTTGCCCATTTCATGATGAGTGAATTACTAGTGCCACCTGCCCACATTGTGCTGAGTGTTCAGCAGCTTTTGACCCAAAATGGCATAACCCCTGTGGCCCCCACCATTCACTTCATCTTGCCTTGAGCCACTTTTTTTTGGTTTACCTAATGAAAAAAGTCCTCAAAGGGAAACGTTTTGCTGATGTGGAAGAGGGGAAACAAAAAATGACAAGAAGCACTGTCACTAAAAGGCATCAAAATTGACAAGTTCAAAACTCTTTTGAGGAGTGAAAAAATGTCTCAATAGATACATTGCATCAAATGGAGGATACTTTGAAGGTGACTAAAGTTCAAACATGTAAGAATAAATACACTTTTTTTATAAATAAAATCCATTTTTTGGTGGAGTCCTTCCCTTGTGTGTAGTAGAGGAGAGAAGTGAAGTGTGTAAATAAGTTTCTGCTCTGTGGGGATCTACTCAATCCAGCTTACCACATTCTTTTGCAAGAATGTTCTCTTGAATATGTATGCCTAAATATAAGGTAAGCTCAAATATAACGTAGTCTCCCCTTATAAACTTTTAGAAAGGTAGATGAAATCGTAAAAATTTAATTTATTAATTTAGGTACATGTATATAATTTGTCACCTTTTATGAAGGAGTGCAATAATATAGAAGGATTGCTTTAACGACTCATATTTCATAAAATCATCTTGCTCAAACTTTGTCCATGAGTCTTTGTAGTGTTTTTATCATCAGTAGAATCGCTTTGCATTATGTATCTAGCATGGAAATCCAGGTGCATCTTCATTTCTGTCTCTTTTTTTGAGTTATAGCAGTTTTTGAACACATGTATGATCTAACACTGAAGATTTTATGTATAAACCACAAGGACCATTCACAAAACAGTGGGCTGGGTTTGTTTGTTGTTGCTGTTTTTGTATGTGTCTTATAGTTGTATATTCATAATCTCGAGTTATATATTCATAATCTATAGTTGTATATTCATAATTCACAGTTACTCATGTTTGATCTCTGGTTGATTATATCGTTTTATGTAGTTTCTGTTTCTGAATTTAATCCTTTTTTGAGTAATAACATTGTATATTCACACAGTTTAAAATTAAAGTGTACAAATGGGTACACAGTGAAAAGTAGGTCACCCTCCCAGTCTTGTCCCTTAACTACCCAGTTACTTCCCTAGAATTACCAACTGTTAACTTGCATCCTTCCTGAGAGAATAGTATTTGATGACTTTCTAAAAGCAGTTTTGAAAGCTTTGTAACAACATCCAACACTTTGAATTTTAAGGTTATACCCTAGAAATAATAAATGTGTTGATTTTTTCCTCCCAGTTTTTTTTCTGAGTTTATTAAGGTATATCTGTAAATGTCCTAAAACCAGCTTTGAATGAAGTAAATTTTAAAAAATATTTACCTTAAATTTATTGGGGTGACATTGGTTAATAAAATTACATAGGTTTCAGTGTACAATTCTGTAATACATGACCTGTACATTGCATTATGTGTTTACCACCAAAAGTTAAATGTCTTTCCGCCACCATGTATTTGACCCCCTTTTCTCTTTACCACCTCTTCCTCAGCCCCCTTTCTCTTTGGTAAGCACCATATTCTTGTCTGTGTCTATGAGTTTTTGTTCATTTATTTGTCTTGTTTGCTCTCAGTTTTATATCCCACATATGAGTGAAATCATATGATTCTTGACTTTTTCCTGTCTGGCTTATTCCTCTTAGGATAATATTCTCAAGATTGAACCATGTTGTTGCAAATGGCAGTATTTCATCTTATCTGTGGCTGAGAAAGTATCCCATTGTATATATGTACCACATCTTTATCCGGTCATCTATAGAAGCACACTTTGGTTGTCTCCATGTATTGGCCACTGTGAATAGTGCTGCAGTGAACATAGGGGTACATACATCTTTACAAATAAATATGTTCAGATTTTTTTAGTAGACACCCATAAGAGAGGTTGCTAGGCCATTTGGTAACTCTATTTGTAATTTTTTGAAGATCCTCCATATTGTTTTCTATAGCTAATGCGTTTTCCTCAAATCCTTTTTTGTTTATTATTAACTAAATGAAAGAGCATCTCATAATATGAGATATTGTGTAAAGATTCTGACAAGAGAGAATCTCCTTTTTTCTGACAAGTTACTGAGGAAGTTAAAAACCTTGCCTTATATTTAGGCATACACTAATTTTAGGTTTATGATATATTAGCTTAATTTGTATATACATTACAAAGCATAAATGGAATCCTTGTACAGCTATCAGAAATCTAGGATTTTTGATACATTGATGTGAGTATAGTAGAACCACATCAAATAATATGTAAACAGAAGAACCATAACTTTCTTACCTTAATGATTTTTTCAAGCTTATTCTTCATTGTTTAGGTCTTCTTAATGCCATGTTTAAATCATGTCATATACAAAATGTAGGTGTTAGCCTCAAAATTAATTAATGCATAGTATGGTTTAGCTATTTTGAAATAATCAGATTTAGATATTTTCTAAAATATTGTGTTTTATTGTTATTCCTAAGTTTTTGAATTTCACTTTAGAATTCTTTTCAAGGTAAATGAAAACATTTCAAGTTGGGCTCAGCATGTAGAAGGATTATGTCACCAAATAGTTTATATATAAACTTTACAAGGAAGATGAAGTTGACATTTAAGTAATGATTCCAGGATCTCCCCTTATTATTTTTTAAGATTTTATTTATTTATTTTTAGAGAGAGGGGATGGGAGGGAGAAAGAGAGGGAGAAAAACGTTGATGTGAGAGGGAAACATTGACTGGTTGCCTCTCATATGTGCCCCAACTGGGGACCAGACCTGCAATCCAGGCATGTTCCCTGACCAGAAATCAAACTGGCTACAGTTTGCTTTGCAGAACGATGCCCAACCAACTGAACCACACTGGTCAGGGCAAATCTCCCCTTATTTTTTATTAATATTTATATTGGCACTAGTGGAGTGGTAAAATATTTCCACCACTGGAGTAAACATGAAAAATGTTTAGTAAAGATAAGCTAGCATTTTCCTTTACCCATAAACGTGGCCACAATAATTGTATAGTTAGTGGTACTTCAAAAGTAAGGCAGCCATTTAGGCAACTAACTCTTCTCAACAAGTGAATCCTTTATAAAAGAAAGTAGATATACAAAAACACATAAATAATGTACCTCTCCTAAGACAGTGCATACACTGGAATATTGAGGTTTGTTTTGACATTTTATACACACAGTAGACTCATTTTCATGTTTCAATATTAACATTCCTTCAGATGGCAGGAATAAAAGGGGAATCAGTCAAGGGGACATTTAGCTCTTTTATTGTTTAAATAGGAAAAGTTCAGGTGATATAAAGTGAATATAATTTTGTAAAAGGAGGGAAAGGCAAAGTTAATGGAAACAATATACTGGAAAGAACTGTGGCCCCTTTGCTGAGGCCCACA